AGAATTTTCAGATATGTGCGGCCCTCTATGTATGCATTTCGAATCTTTCTTACATATGCCATTTTGATAGTACTATGCATTAGAATATGTGATATTAATACCAACCCTTGGCCATCTATGGTTATCGAGAAAAAGGTTTGACTCTGGGCCCCGTTTTCGACAAAAATCAATAATGTCGGCCTCGCCCCCGACACCGCGCCAATGTTTTAAAATCTTTTAAACCACATATTCTTGATCAGAATTCCATGCTCTTTCGAATGACATAGGTATCGAAGTTTGCGGTAAAAGTCGTGTATAAAGTGGTCGATTTCCTATGGAATTACCCAATATCATGCAATGGTCATTGTACACGATATCAGATTTACTTGTATTTAATAGTTGTTTATGTGAATTTCTGTTTAGTTCAGTTATGCTGTCTGTTATAGGTTATTTACTTTATAGTGATATACATCAGTTAACATTTCCAACACCATTCTGTTTATTTCGTGGTTATATTACTTATATAACAATTGCTGCACAAAATTGGTCGTATTTAATACAAGCCATATATCGTTATATGTGTTGTACATCATCATAAAAAAACAACAACATCCTATCGTTTACAAATCTGTTTTATTACGATAAAATGGATTTATTGTATTTTATTTCCACCACCATTACTATTGATACCATCTCAGATGCAATATAATCTATCTAATCAAATGTGTCAGGTACCAATCTTCATAGTTTACAAATGATGTATTTAGCTCTTTGTATTTATCTGATACCAGTTCTATCAATTGCTGTTATCTATTTTAGACTTGTTAAACATGTTAATAAAATGACAAAAGCAACAACATCAGTCAACAAATATAACATTATTTCAAGCAAAAAGAGAATTATTAATGTTAAAACGTATTGTTTTATTGATTATATTACTGTTAATATGTTGCGGACCGTACATGGTATTTGTGTTAATAGGTTTTCGTGGAACAGATCCATATACATACCATTTACGTATATCATATGTATATCTTGATTCATCTCTTATGTTTGTTATGATACTAATTATGTATTCGACAAATAATATTAGAGATATACTATTTCGTTCAAATAGAACACTTGATACATCAACAGTTCCAAGTCATAATACAATAAAAACAATAGAAAATATTAAAACAATACTTTCCTACCATATAGCTAGAATGAATGATAGACCAATATTTTTTGTTGTATATTGTTGTTGTCCTGCTGTAGTTGTGGTATAATATACATCGAAGAAGTGTCGTTTTCCTCCCTGATTTAAGATAAAAACAATCTAAATATAGTTATTAACAATTCAGCAAGCAGACAAGATTTGACAAAAATCTCGAAGTGCACGGCAGTATGAAAAATTTCATAATTTCAGAAAACCTTTGGAAAATTCTTAGTACTAGGCATGCAACAGTTGCAGTTAACTGTGCCCCTTGATAACTGCAACTGTAACTGTTACAAATGACGACAGCTTTAATCAAAAACTGTAAAAAAGAATCTTCATCCAAAACTATTTCTAAAAGCCCTGAATCTGTTTCTATGATTATCTCAAAACAAGTCAACAGTTTTATACAGTTGCAAATTTAGGAGTTGCAGTTACGTGCAAATGGTTACAGTTTTACAGTTGAAAACTGCAACTGTTTTACCTCGGTCAATTTTCCTCAGAACTAAAAAACTTCTATTTACTCGCGAGCAACATTCCCAGCTGTCCAACCCCGATTTCTTTCAAACATACATCACTCGATAGCCTATATCGAGATAGTAAAAAGGCTGAAAGGATTTATCCCCATGGCTCTTGAAGACCCCTTCTGGAAAATCAGTTTTCCAGAAACTCTAAAAAAATAATCAAAACGTTTCTTAATAAGGCACGATTGTAGCCCAGAAATTTCTGATAAAAATGAGACGTCTCCAGCTCTACACGACCTTTCTTTGCAAAGTTAGGCTTTTCTTGTAAATTATATAACTTTGCAAAGAAAGGTCGTGTAGAGCTGGGAGACGTCTCATTTTTATCAGAAATTTCTGGGCTACAATCGTGCCTTATTAAGAAACGTTTTGATTATTTCTTTAGAACTTCTGGAAAACTGATTTTCCAGAAAACACGGGTCTTCAAGAGCCATGGGGATAAATCCTTTGAGCCTTTTTACTACCTCGATATAGGCCATCGATTTATGTATGTTTGAAAGAAATCGGGGTTGGACAGCTGGGAATGTTCCGTCGTCAGTTCTCTTATCGGATCAGTAGATGTAATAAAAAAGCACAGGTCCTTTCTTTAGTACTTTAAGCTTATACTATCTCACATGCTCTATTTCCTAATAGAAGGATTATTTTTGCGTCCAATCCTAGCGAAAGTTTCTCGTAGTTCGCGTTCCCAATTAAAAAAGCAATCTTTTGTAGGTCGAGCTAAGCTTTCTAGACAAAATATTTGAACACTATTATAGGTGAGGCACTATCAGTCTTACCTGGAAAGATTGAAAATGTTTGTGATAAATGTGGCTCAACAGATCTTACACAAAGAGGAAGCGCAATTCTATGTAATAGTTGCAATCTACGAAAAAAACTGGTGATTGTAGATGGTGAAGGAGACAAATTTGATGTTCCATTTAAAACAAATACCAAAGAGACGCTGGATTTAGTGATCACTTTGCTAATGATAAAATCAATTATGCCAGATCAAGTAGAAATCACTTGCTCTTTAACACGTAATGATGAAGCTATGAAAGAACCCCTCACTAAGACATACGTAGTTACATATAAAAAACAGACAGGTGTTATTACAGATATGAAAAAAAATTTTGCTGTTTTCGTTGGAAAGGTTTTCGTGGAACAGATAAATATACACATCGTTTACGAGAGCTTACAATTTATTAAGAAAATAATAAATTGCGCCATTTATAGAATAAATGGCTTACCACACTTTTTTCCGAATAAATGGCTATACAGTTGCCTATTCCGGAAGGTTCTCTAGCATAAAAGGCTCATTTCTAGCATAAATGACTGGGAGGAGGTAACATACATGGGCAACCCCCCAGGGTTGTCTAACATACATGGCTAATTTCTAGCATAAATATCTTTCATTGTCTTCTTCTTCTACATTTATTACTCATTTTTTTTCTTCATTTCTTTCTTTATATTTGTAATTCCTTACATCAATCCATTTTTCTCTATATTCTAGATACATTAACCCAAACGGAACTAATTCGAAACATCTATCTACACTATACAACAAAAACATTGTAGTTCCTCTTTGCCAACTATATTACAACTGTCATTGGTTCATATTTTAACTATCATTAGTGCACATAAACAAAATTCTTATATTCTATACTTTGTAACAGAATTAATAATTATTACGACTATTCATAGCTACTTAATCAACTGATTTTGATATTGATTAGAAGGTTATGATTTACGCAATAAATATCTCTTCTCGTCTAAATGGTAGGACATCTGCCCGGATAGCAGAAGATATGTGGTTCGAGTCCCATGAAGAGAATTACTATTATCTAGTATTCTATACTGATATCTCTGTGCCACTTGACAAGATTTATTCAAGAACATCGAAATATCTGGTATTGTGGTAGCTATACTCACCACTGCAAATTCAATTTAACATTATCCATTGTGATAACAGTTTAAGTTCAACATTGTTTTGATTTTTTATTTAAATTGAAACATGACCATCTGATGATCCTCGCACAGTGGGCAATTTTGACTAGGCACATGGACATATGCTGTAGAAGTGATACGAAACTCTGTAAACACGTTTTTTATAGGTTTTCGAATATGCTCTTTCCAACGATGAGATTTTCGAAATCCAAAACTAATTATTTCTGGGTTTTCGGAAGACCGGATCTCTAGAAAACCCATAAAGAATTATTTTTGGATGTCGAAAATCTCACCATTGGAAAGAACAAATTCGAAAACCTATAAAACATGTGTTTATAGACTTTCGTCCCGCAGCTAAAACGAATATCCAAATACCCACGTAAAATTTGCTACGGTCATGCTTCTACGCTACGATTCAGTTTAATCGAAAACTTTTCTGTAGGAAAATGTTTCAAATTATACATGATTCGATGCAGCTTTTGATGCTGATTCCAAATACCACATTAATTTTAAATAAAAGCTTTTCTGAGGCGAGAAAAATAGAAAATACCTGGAAAACCACAGGTATTTTGAAAAACCTGCTGTACGGTCCAGGTACATTTATGCATATTTATGCATTCATCATAGTTGAAGGACATGTAGAAGAACATTCTGTGAAAGTATGAACGAGTTTCGAGTTGGGATGTGGAGGGCAGGCTCATTTTACCGAAACTATCCGTTTGGGAAAGGACTAAGCGCAGAAAGAAAATCTTTTTCTCCTAACAGAAATGATTAAAAAAAAAACCTTTTTTATAAATCCATACAGTGACAGGTCGAGTTGGAGATTACGGACAATTTTTAACATAATATTTGTTCCTGTGGGTGTCACCGAACCGCTTTTTTAAGGAGCTGAGTTTCAACACCAAATTTTCATTAAGTGTTTTCTCACTAACTACGGCACATAGAATAAAAAGCTTTTTATCATTAAATAGCCCGTTATTCAAAATATATTTGCCACTATTTGAATCTCAAAAAATTGTGCTTTCATTTTTTCACCTAATGTCCACGTGATTGCCCACTGTGCCTCGTTGCTGAGGTGCAATGTTAACATTATGGTTGCTCCACTCAACCACACCCACCCCACCCGCCGTTAACTGGACAAGCTGTATATTGAATCTGATATAAAATATCTATGGAGCAAGCTAACTAAAAATGAAGAAATAACTGAATAGAAAGCAAACCAAGAAAAGCGGCCACTACGATGGACGGGGGACCCTTTTGAGTGTCATTACTTTACGTGATAAAAATATTTTATTAAAATTATTTAAAATCTTGTTTACACTCTAAAAGTTTGATTATAATTTAAAATTAAAACAAACAAAAAAAGAAAATCAATTTTGTTTTTAATTTTTATTTAATTTTGTAATAATTAAATTTTGATTATTTTGATTAGACGAAGAAGAAATTTGAATAATTTTTTCACTTTTTTCTATTTCATTTTTTTGTTGATTTTTTAACATAATTATTTGATTTTTTATTAATAAACCATTTTCAGGTAAATTATATAATTGATCTAATAATTTTTCAATTTCATCATTGTCCATTGTTGACGGTATTGAATTATCAACAGTTGCTGTTGTTGTTGTTTCAATGGTTGATGTTAATTTTTCAATATAAAATGTTTTTATATTTTTTAAACCATTTAAAATAAATTCATTATTAGCACCAAAATTGAATTTTTGTTCTTCTTCTGTAATATAATATTCAATATAATCAAAAAATGGATCATTAAATGATATTATTGAATTTTTTTTTAAAAATTTAATAAATTTAATACAAATTTCAATCATTTGTAATTGTTCATGTAATAAATTTTTTATTCTTTTATTTAATTCTTGTTCATAATTATCATCAGCATTGCCTACTGTTGTTGTTGTTGTTGTTGATTCCATTATTTTCTGACTATGAATTAATTCTGTTTCATATGAAATATGCATATGATCAGACCATTGACATTTACATTTCATACAAATATTATTAATATCAAATATTTCACATTCTTTAATAATTGGATTATTAATTACATTAAGATTAATATTTTTTACGTAACATGGACTGTGGCAAATGGTCGAAAAATGAATTTGTTCAGTATCTTGATAATATTTAACACATTTTTCATTTGTACAAACAGTTCTTGGATAATTCAACATTTTTGTTTGAATATAAACAAATGGAATAAGTTTTTTATTTTTATTTTCTAATAAATCTGTTTCTAATTTTTCATTTAATAATTTTAAATTTAATTGAATATTTCTTATTGATTCTAAAATTGGTCTTGCTAATTCAAAAATTAATTTCCGTATTTTATTAAATTGAATTGTTTCATTTAAATTATATTTTTTACATAATAAAATATAATCAATAAATCTTAATGTTTCATTTATTGATTTATTCCAACTATTTTCAAAATCTTTTTTTTGATTTTCATTAAATAAAATATCAAAATTATTATTAGATTTTATTGCAGCAAGATAACGAAATGATTCATTATCAAAACAAAATGTATTTTGTTTATTAAATTTAATATCAATATTATTGTGATCTTTTAACTCATCTAATATTTGTTTTAATAATTGTGCTGTATTTCCTGGTAAATAAAATGTTGAACGTGAATTAGTAAAACAAAATAAAATATTATCTTTAATATTAACATTTAAATAAGATAATAATTGTTGTATACAAAATCTAAAAAATATATTTAATCTTGATGCATTTGGTTTTAATAAAATACAAACTGAATTTAAATGTTCATATTTTGTTATATATGAAATAATTAATTCTAAATTTTGTTTATCTTTTACAATTCCACTTGTATCACCGATACCAGGTGTATCAATAATTCTTAAATTTCTATTATTACCAATATTAAATACATATGAACGACATTCTTGTGTTGCTGATTTTCCTTTTATATTAATTTCATTTGAATCATTATCAATATTACCAATTTTAATTTCTTTTTCTTCAAATGTTTCACCATCTGTAATAATAAATGAATTTGGAATTAATACAATTGTATTACCATTAATTGCATCATCAAATTTATTATAATTTAAATAATTAACAAATGCATTAATAAATGTTGATTTTCCAACACCTGTTTCACCTAATAATAAAATATTAATATCATCATTTTTTTTTTCTTCTTCTTCTTCTTCTTCTTCATTTATTCGTTGTCCATTTTTATAATAATAAATTAAGTTTTCATTTGGTTTAAATTCTTCTAAACAATTTTTCAAATCCATATAAATACATTTCAAATTTTTATTTCGAGTTTTTTTCAAAAATAATTTCCATAAATTTGATTTATTTTTAAAATCATCATCATTGACTGAATAGAATAGACAAGAATAATTTTTATCAAAATAAATATTAGAAAATTGTTCAAATTTTGATGTTGTTGTTGTTGTTGTTTCAGGATACTCTATTGATACATCACAATAGTGAATATTATCTTTAGCTAATGAATTAATAAAAAATATTTTTTCTTTTAAATTTATTTGTGTATTTAAAATATTTTCAATTTCAATTGAATAAAATTGATTTTTAATTAAATATTCTTGTTCAATTAATTTGATAATTTCATTTTCATTTAAATTTTTTGTTCGAATATTTATTATAATTGATGATAGTTTTGTTAATAATAATTTTTCTTCATTTTTTATTTTTTCAAGTTTTTTTTCATATTTTATTAATTCATTTTTCATTGACAAATTTTCAATATTTTTTAATTTATCAATAAAAATATTAAAATTTTTTATTGATTTTTGTAAATGATCAAATTCATTAACAATTAATAATACAAGATTATTCTTAGTTGAAACTATTTGATGTTGTTTTGTTGAACATAATCTGTAAGATATTGGTACCAATAATTTTTCATTTTTCTCAATTGTAGTTAAAATCATATTAATATAATTCAAAATATCATTTTCAGCATCATTGTTGTTGTTACGATTGAATTGAGGTGATGATGACCTTGTATTTTGTGACATGTCTGTAAAAATGTTTAATTGAAAATCATTAAGAAAATCTTTTTCATCTTTTGTTAATCCGAAAGATGATTTTCCATTAGATTTTAAAAATGAAACTAATTTTTCTAAAATATTCATTAATTTTAATTTATATTCATCGATTTTTTCTTCATTAATATTTTCTATTTGAAATTTCATAATTATTTGAATACCATATTCAACAGCAACAACAAAATGTGTTCCTTTATCATTATCATCATCTTGAATGATGGTAGTAATCAAATGTTTCATTGAGTCTGATTGATCAATATCAAGTTCTTTTATTATTGTTATTATACGATAAATTAAATTACTTGTAATTGCTCTATTTGATAATTTATCAACTGTCCAAATATATTGTTTGTAAATATTATCATTATCATTTAAATTTGATAATCCAGAAATGATACTTAATTTAAAATCATCTTCAACAGCTAAACTATTAAGTTTTTCATAACAAAATTCATCCAAGCAAATATTATAATCAGCCGAATGTGTAGAAATTTTTGATTGTTTAATCAATTTTTCTATATTATTGCTAATTAAAGATGTTTCACAAAAATTATCTGTATTTGCATTATACAACGAACCAATGTGATGATGTCTACCCAATGCTTGACGACAAATAATAGTTCCAGTATCCATTGAATAACAATAATAAATTCTTTTTTTTATAAATCTACAACAATTAGGCACAATAATAAAACAAAAACAAAAAAAATGAATACTTGTCAAAATTTTTTATTTCTATGAGAGATTATTCGTTGAATCTATTACTATGTGTCGTGTTTATAGAGATCAACGAAGGGAGAGGGAATGATCTGCAGATATCAAATCACGATTTGTCTTCTTTAATACTGACAATATGTAAAGTCAGGGGGAGGGCTCCTTTTTGCATAGAGCTAACTATTTGATAATGTCGACAGATGTTTGTTATAAAAGATGAGATAAACGGAAAAAGCAAAACAACCAACCGTGTTTTTATTTTTTTTACAGTAAATTATTCATATTGAGTCATATTTGACATATTATTAACTTTCTTTTCTTTTCTTTTACACTTATCGTCTGTTTTGAGGGAAAAATCCCAATGAATGTTGTTGTCGTTGTGGTTTTTTTCTCTTCTTCTTCTGCTTATCTTAATATCAATCGTATATTTATGGTTATTCAAAAAATGATCTCTTTTCTTCGATCTGTTATTGTCTGCTATCGAGTGAGTAATAAAAAAAATACCCATCTGTTAGTACTTTTCATCATAATATTATTGATTGTGAAATATGGATAATTTATTTTTATGCTGTTCTATCTTCTTTCACTTTCTTTTTTTCTCTTACCAAAAAAACTAGGGCTTGATATTTTTGCCAGTACAAATATTTGATGTGATGATATACATCATTATTTTTTTTTGTTCGTGATCTTGTATATATAAAAAAGACAATATTTAGGAGCATCGTTTCATTACAACACAGAAAAAAACAACCGTCTTGTATCGTCAAGGTCAAAAAGCAAGTTTAGATTTTTAGTAATTTATTGATTTTTGTCGTTTTTCTTTTAAAAGATAAAAATAATAATGAGTTTAGTAGCAAGAACAACAATGATGAATTCTGTAAATAGTTCAACAGATGATATGATTATTTTATTATTGGGTGAAACAGGTGTTGGAAAATCAACATTTATTAATGCTTTAGTTAATTATTTTACATATGAAAAATTAGATGATGCAATAGATGGTCATATGATATCAGTAATTCCATCATCATTTGTAATGACTGATCCAGAAACATTTGAACAAACAAAAATAAAAATTGGTGAAGATTTAAACGAAATGGATCGACCTGGACAATCGGCAACACAATCATGTCGTTGTTATGTATTTCCAATTGGTAATAGAAAATTAAAAATTATTGACACGCCCGGTGTTGGTGATACAAGAGGTATTGATGAAGATAAAAAAAATTTTAAAAATATTTTATCATTTATTGGTCATTATGAACATATAAATGGAATTTGTATGTTATTAAAACCAAATGAATCAAGATTAAATATATTTTTTAGATTTTGTATTAAAGAACTTTTAACACATCTTCATAGAAGTGCAAAAGATAATATTATATTTTGTTTTACAAATGCACGTTCAACATTTTATTCACCGGGTAATACGGCACCATTATTAAAACAATTATTAACTGAATTAAAACAGACAACAAATGTTGATGTACCATTTAGTAAAGACAATACATTTTGTTTTGATAATGAAGCGTTTCGATTTGTTGCTGCAATAAAAAATAATATTCCATTTACTGATGAACAAAAAGAAGATTTTCGTAAAAGTTGGGATACATCTGTTAAAGAAGCAAGTAATCTTATTATACGTATAAATAAATGTCAACCACATCATGTTAAAGACACAATATCACTTAATGAAGCAAGAAGACTTATTGTTGAATTAACAAGACCAATTGCAGAAATAACACAAAATATTCAATTAAATATTAAAGTTGCTGAAGATAAAAAACGTGAATTAATTAATGCTGAAATATCAATTAGTGATTTAAATAAAAAATTAAAAATACCAGCTGTTGATTTAAAAAGTACATCACTTTCATATCCAAGAACTGTTTGTACAAGTACAAGTTGTGTAAAATTTGTTAAATTTGGTAATATTGATAAAATTAATTATGTAACACACTGTCATGAACATTGTTATCTACAAGGTGTTGCACAAGATGTTGTTAATAATGCTGCATTACAAAAATGTTCAGCAATGAATTCAGCTAATCAATGTACAAAATGTTCATGTGGTTATGAAAAACATATGCATATTACATATGAAACAGAACAAATAAATACAGAAGTTATTGATACATCAGTACAAAGAAATATTGGTTCACAACAAGATGCTGCAGGTGCAATTAGAAATTTTCAAAATAAGTTACAACAACGTATTACAGATTTAAAAACAGAACAACAAAAAATAACTGAAGTATGTGCAAAATTATCAATATTTCTTTATGCAAATTCCATTACACCATATAATGATGATCTTATTGAATATGTTAATCATTTATTAAGAGAAGAAAAAGATAAACGTGCATATGGATCAAATAATCAAGATGTTATTAATGGACTTCAAACAATGGTTAATGCTTATGAAAAGGAAATAAAAATATATAAAGATACTTTAGCATCAGTTAATTCAACACAACGTAATTTAAGAGTACCAAATGTTGCTGATATTCAACCAATGATCGAAAGTCTTTATAATCTTCCTATAAGGGGAGCAGAATTAAGACAACAAATTAGTTTAATTAGAAGAGGTCATGATACAACTGTAAATGGATTTGAAAAAATGTATGAACCACCTAAAAATCGAACACTCATATCAAAATTTAAACATCTTTTTACATAAAACTGGGAATTTAGCTTTTGTAGAAATTATTTTATTGCTTTTGTTGTACGCTTAGAATAAAAATAGTCCAGAATTGTTGTTCTTTTTTGTTTTTCTTTTAAAATAATTTTTGAATGGTAATAGACAAAGATCTGTGAGTTTTACTTGCTAGAAAGAGTGAATTGAAGAACACAGGACTAATGTTAAAATTGATTGATCAAGTAATAGAAAATTTATTACAAGTTGATTGTGAAAAATAAAAGTTTGAGAGAGAAATTGCAACAACACACACACACACACGACGGTCCATTTTTATCATCTTTTTCCAATAATTTCACCTCGTTTGTTATTTAATGAGCGCGCGTGCACTTTTTTTTTATATTTTAAAATATTGGCTAAAATTTCGAAAAAAAAGATCATCAAAATATCATACAGTCGGTAGTGGTGATTTTTCAACAAGCTAGAAAACTTATCAAAATACAAGATAAGTTTTCGTTAACACTCTTCAGAAACAACTCTGTCTCTCTTGCTTATTATTCCTTAAATTTTAAAACTACTACTGGAAAACTGGACAACGATTGTATAGAAATAAAAAACTTGTGTTTCATAAGAAAATTTTTATTTTTATCACAATATGTTTTTCTGTAATTATATTTTTCATAAACAGAAATAATGTTAAAATTTAGTATAATTTCACGAAATAATTGTCTCAATATGGCCTCTGCAATTTAACTTTAACTTACGCACTCTGTGATCTGCGTCTTTGCGATTATTAGTAAATATCAAAGAAAAGTCCTATCAGTCATAGTATATGTCTTTTTTACAAGATAGTTCGCAGATGGATCTAATGCCAAACTAGTCGGCATTTGCATATTAATTTTTAATTTCTTTTTGCTTTTAAAATACGTAAATGATTTGTTTTTGTTTTGTTTATTTTTTTCTTTATATATCACATGTGTGTATAATAAATAAAAATATGCGGTTTATAATAAGAAATACAAAAATAATGTGTCATCCATCACACACAGATATCAAAGAAGAAAAACGGAAAAGAAAAAACAAAAAAAGAGAACAGAAAAGAAAGAAATATTACACAACTAGACGAAAATTATTTTACGTTAAGTAATCGTGAAGGAGGATAAAGAAAATAAAAGAGAAGCACTTCCTCGTTTCTTCTACAAATATTTTTTGTAGTTTCATGGTATATTGCAATATTAACGGATAAATAAATTGTATGCTTTTTTAGAGAAGAAAAGAAAAACAAATTCGATCTTGACATTTATTTGATTTCTGTGGGTTTTTCCTTACTTCTTAAAAAAACCCACTCGACAGATATAAAAAATAAAAGTTATTTTCTTCAATACGAAGCGAAAAAATAAAGACAAGTACACAGCTAAAGAAAACAAAGATTCTAACTTTAAACGGGGTAAATTATGGTTTCATTCAAGCTCATCTTCTATCTCCTTTGTTAGTAGTAGTAGCGCCGGTGTCTGTGCTTTATTTTCGTCAACCAATTGTACTAATGACTGAACTAAGTTCATTTAATTGAAATAAAGTGAAATTGATAACGAAATTTTTAAATAAATGTGACAGTAATTATTTTATTATAAAACTATTATTTTTATTTTAGAAATATTTAAGAACAAAAAAAATGGCTGTTTCAAACACACAAGATTTGATTGTCGATGGAGCAGAGTTAAGTCATCCAATAACCATCACACGTGGTAAAATATCTCGTACGTATCTAGTCATTGCATATCCATCACAAATAACAAGAAATACAACAAATACTCATGCTGATGGAACAACAACACCAGATCCAAAAACAGTCAAAAGATGTCGATGGTATACTACTGGTATAATTCGATTTCATGTCAATCCTGAAACTGGTTTCATCTACGAAGCACGACCGGATTTACATGAACTTGAAATAACACTTGAATGTATATTAGACAAATCCCACAAACAACAATTGGCTAATCATGCTGAAGAACTTTATGGATTCAAATTAACCGTTGACAATTTTGTCATTTGTCCATTTCAAACATTTCTTGCACAGTTGACAATTGACATTGATGGCATTGTAAAAACATTTTATGGAACACTTATGAATAACAAAGAATTGCATCCAATGCGAATCATTTTTAAAATCGAAGATTCAGATGAATTGTCAAAAATCACTTCAAAACTCGCTCGTCCCCATGATAATCATATTATATTGAGCTATGATTATAGTCTAAGTGGAACCTCAACAGCTCATGCTTCATTAGATGTTACTGCTGAAGAGGTGAGTCAAATCAATTTGGAAAAACAAATATTTGGCACAAGCAAAGCCGGAAGTATGATGGTAAGTCGATCATTTATGGATAAAGTTTCGGCTGGAATTTCAAGCAAATTGTGTGTTGTTGAAAAAATCGGAGTTGGTGCATCATCATGTGGACACGATTTAATTAAACAAGAAATTATTAATGCCATTTCAGATGGTGGCTTCAAAAAGCTCAGTATCGATGATATAAAACAATTGGAAAGCAACGATATGGGAGTTACCGATGATTTAAAAGCCAATATAATTAATTCAGTGTCTGGAAGCCAGGCAAATAGCTCAACATCAGATCAACATAGTTTAGACAAGTCTTCGTCGGCTAATTCGTCAAACATTTTGCATGCTAACAGTGGAGCCAGTAATCAATCGGGAAGTCAATCATCGAACTCATCACTAAGCCATAGAGGAAATGTAGATGTTGGTTTTAAACTGATTAGTGGCAAGGGCGGTTACAACTACGACAATAAAAATGCATCTGAATCAGCCTACGACAATTCAAACAGTTATGATAATAAAGATCATGCACATAAAACTAACAAAATGTCGCAGTTGAACGAAAATTCCGGTAGCAATTCAAACTCAAATATGGCAAGCGGCGAAATCCACGGTCAAATAAGACAAGTGAAAAACATTGATGTGGCAATCGTTCATCGATTGAACGTTGCTAAAGGTTTCAAAATTTCATTGGTTCGATGGCATCATCAACTGTCAACAGCATGTGTAAAAGGTCGAATAACAACAAAAGGCGATACGGAAACATTGGACGAAATTCAAGCAAGACAGAAAGCAGAAGGACAAGCAAATGTTAACCGTCAAGAATACGGTAGGATATCAAAAATAGTTTCTGGTTTAATGCATTTTAAAGTGCTGGAAATACAGAAAGGGAACGAGTCTCGCTACTGTACTCAAAATCGCAACCCGGCATTCGCTTTTGGTTGCTGAGTTTTGCAGAACCGAAACAGAAAAGAAAACAAATATTTGTGTTTGTTAGTAAGAAAATTTATCACGAAATTATATGTGCAAGATATTTTCCAATCGTACTTGGCTTCTTTAGCAGCAAAGATTCGAATGTCGTAGCAGCGATAGCAATGGATACCACAAAAACGAGATTTCTTTATAGTTAAAAATAGTCTATTAGTGTCTAAGGTTAAAGAAATTCAGTTTCTCATTCTATTTTTGAGTTCAAGATCAAAAAATTTCTGCGGACAATAGTAAAAGTCTAGAGCTATGTAATGAGAAAAACAATTCAGTCGTTGAAATCGTTTAATTACTGAGTTATACGACTTTTAACGATGCATTAATTTTGTCTAGCGATGCACCAGTATCAGTATACTGAATACTGACAATAATGATACTGATTAATACTGAAATACTGACTACTGACTATACTGAATACTGACCAATACCGACAAAATGTTGATCAGTATTCGTCAGTATTTGTCGGTATTTATTAGTATTGGTCAATAACATTATCGCATGCCCTGAATACCGACAAATACTGACAAATACTGTTCAGTATTGGTCACTATTCAGTATTGATCAGTATCACTATTGTCAGTGTCAGTTTTCCAGTATAATACTGATACTGGTGCATCCCTAATTTTATTCAGGAGAAAATGTAGAATAATATATCCTATTATATATTAGACAAAGTGTCAATAAAAACGGCGTGAGTAATTTGGAGATATTTCTTTATCAAAAATAGATTTTTTCGAGGAAACAGGATAAAATAAAAATGAGAAGAGATAAAGCATTAAAAGCATGTAGAAGAACAAACGAAATGAACTTGGGCTCACTTCTTCTTCTCCGGTTCCAAAGCACAAAAGTCTTTTATTATGAAAGTTTCACATTCGAACACGCATTTCTTTCTTCCATATAAAACAGAAAAAAAATTCCGTTTCCGATCCGTTTCTTTTCCTTCAAACATTATTCGAAAAAAATAAGTAAGAGCTGCTTTAAATTCATTGTTTTTTTTCAGTGCCAACAACAACACATAAACCAGAAATTAAAAAATCAACAACTTCGAATGTTTCTGAAGAAATATGGGAATTAGTAGGACAATTTTCATCGAATAGAACACCATCTGAACTTAATTTATCCTCAAAAAAATTATCGGATAATGAAATTGAAGTAATTTGTGATAAATTGAAAACAAATCAAAGTTTAAAGAAACTTGATTTGTCTTATAATATTAGCGATACAAGTGCTCTACTATTATCTAATGCATTAAAAACAAATCGAAATTTAATTAGACTTAATTTATCTTTTAATCAAATTAGTGATGAAGGTGTACGATCGTTAAGCGATGCATTAAAAGAAAATCATTGTTTAACTATACTAAATTTGTCTTCAAATCAAATCGGTGATGATGGTGTTCAATTATTATCGAATGCATTAAAAGAAAATCAAAGTTTAATGGAACTTAATTTGTCTTCTAATAGAATTACTGATGCAGGTGCTCGATCATTAAGTAATGCATTAAAAGTCAATCGAAAATTGACTATACTACATTTGTCTACTAACCAAATTGGTGATGATGGTGCTCTGTCATTAATTGATGCATTGAAACAAAATGAAAGTTTAATTAAATTTTATTTGTCTTTTAATCAAATTGGTGATGCAGGTACTAGATCATTAAATGATGCATTAAAAGCAAATCGACATTTAACGGAAATTGATTTGAGTTGGAACAAAATTAGTGACACGATAGAACAAAACATACAGTCGCAATCAAACAATAATTGCAAGATTATTTTCTAAATTTGATTTATTTATTTTGTTTCGTTATATATATTTCTGACAATTATCAAATAACTTTTATAGTCAAGAATTGTTAGATTTTCCTTTCATCTCATAGAAATTTACTAAATTCTATAATTAGGATTGACAGATAATCTGAAATGACAGGACAAAATTTTGGTTTTTAACTTTTCGACCTGGTAACCCTTGAGCTACAACATACACATTTTTTTTCAATAAAAGTTTTTTTTTAATTGCTTCAATGTCTATGCGGTTCACTCATACATATATTTTGAAATAGATCAGCTATACTTTTTGACGCAAAAACTTTTTAATAATAAAATATACCACTAGGAAAGCTAAAATTTTAGCTAAATCTAATGAAAAACCAAACCAGAATCGTAATGAAATTCGATGAAAGCGATTGATGATTTCCAGAAAGCTGGAAAAAATTACTATGCGAAAATTCAACAATAAGATCAAAAAATGGTCCCTTTCATGGTTCAAATACGTATTTCAGAACCAGAACCTACAGATAAACTGGCTCTGGAAAACTTGTCGTTCCAGGATTGGAAAATAAAATTGGCCGCTAATTGACAAATATTTGAAAAACAGTAGTTCTTTATTGTCTCCTGTTGAAAACATTCGCACGTATGAACTAGGTGTGTGACAGTTCCGTATCAGCTGGTGGAACTGGAACTGTCCAAACCAGTTCATTTCATTTGAACTTGAGTTGGAAACCAGTTCATTTCAGTTGAACTGGAATCGAAAACCAGTTCATTTCAGTTGAACTGATGATGATGATGATGATGATGATGATGATGATGATGATGATGATGATGATGATGATGATGATGATGATGATGATGATGATGATGATGATGATGATGATGATTATGATGATGATGATGATGATGATGATTATGATTATTATGATGAT